AGATTTTTAAAACCATAACATCTTTTCTTGTAGAAGAACATCAAGCATCTCATGTTGCAATTGCTGACTTAGCTCCTCTAAATAGGGATTCCTCCCAATACCCAAATTCTTCTGTATCCTTCCTTTTATATCCCCGAACAACTCCCAATTCCATTTACCCAGAGGTTCATGTAGCAGATTCAAAGCCTTATAAGTATCTTCCTCAACTCTCCAAACACTGGATAGAAATCCTTTAAAAGAAGGATGAGTAAGCCACATGGCTTCAAAACGAAAGGGCTTCTCAAACCTTCCAGCCTACCTACTTGTCATACTAAAGAGTAAAGGATGGTGGTCTGAATGAACCCTTGGCAAGACTCTGACCGAAGCATTTGGGAAAGCAACTTGCCACTCAGTGTTACAAATGCCTTTGTCTAACCTCTTATACACTCTTTTCCTTCCCTCCCATCTTGGTCCACTCCAAGTAAACAGAGGGCCTATAACATCCAAATCAAACAGACCATTACCTTGAATCCAGTCCCTGAAAGCAGTAATCCTCGCCCTACTTGGATTTGCTCCCCTACTTTGTTCACTAGGGAAAGCAATATCATTAAAATCACTGGCTAGTAGCCACGGCTCCCTTAGTCCTTCAGCGATACTTGTCCATTTTTCCCAAAGCTCTTCCCTTCCAACCCCTTGAGGATTAGCATACACAATGGTACAAAACCAGTCGTTAATATCTCTATTAGCTACTTTTACATGCAAGAACTCCTTACCTCTCAAGAGCACGTCAATCTTCATATCATCCTCTTTCCAACATAGCCATATCCCACCCATAAAACCTACAGCCTCGATTCTTTCTGAGAAATGAAATCCCACTTTATTGACAAGCTCTTGAGCACGCCTATCACTAACTCTTGTTTCAACCAACACGAACAAGCTTGGCCTCTGCACTCTTATGATTTCTTTAACAGACACTACGCATCTATTGCCAGAAGCACCTCTTCAATTCAATTCCAAACTATAAGACTACCCATCATTAGAGAAAGTAGAGAAAATAATCAACAATTAATCAGTCATGGAAATATCAATCCCATTCCCCTTCTGGGAATCACTTAAGACCACATCATGACACATTGTCACATCGTAATCCTGTCTCATCTTAGGCCCTTTATCGACCTCCAAGCTTAATAACTCGCCCCCATCCACATCAACCTCTTTTGGGCCCCTCTCATTCCCTAAACTAATTGAGATGTTACTTTCCCATGGCTCGCTCACATCTCCTACTTACATATCTTTACCACTTTCCACCATAGTTGCCAACTGATTAGGAACCGACACCTCATTATTTACCTCTTCTTCAGTACTAGCACTAGCCTTAAAAGTGAAACCCTCCGATCCCGAAGCAGACACCTTAGGAGAGCTCTTCATTGCTCTGCACCTCACAGTTACCAAACTACGATTATTTCCTAGTTTGTCAGCCTGAAAAACAGCATTGGTCACTTCTTTTAGGGAACTCTAGTATTAACCTCCTGCATACTCACATCCTCCTCTAACACTGAGAACCTCGAGGGGCTCACTACATCAGTGATCTTACCAGGCATCTTCCGTCCACTTCTTGTTCGCTATACCACTTTCCACAATCCTCTGTCCTCCGGACTCACATTCCTTTCCATATTCTCACCGCCAACATCTTGCTCTTCTTGCACTGCTGCACTATTATCATTCTCACCCACTTCCTTACATAAACCTTTGAGGTGTCCAAAACGCTCACAGTTGAGACAAAGCAAACCCATGCTTTCATACTCGATCTGTTTTGTCTCTCCCTCAGTTGCATATTGCGGTACCAATGGTTTCATGAGATTGATCTCTACACAAATATGGGCATATTTACCTCTAGATCTAAGGGCAGTGTTCATATCAATCTTCAATACCCTACCAATTGAGCTGCCTATATTCCAGAGGAATTTCTTATCAAAATACTTCATCGAGATCCAAGGCAATCTGACCCAGATAGCTACCTTAGTAATTACCTCTATTTTCAGATCAAAATCCGGTCTCCATTACATCATGCTCAGGTAAGAATCCAACCAAGTCCAAGGGCCTCTAGTCAAAGCCTCAAGGTAATCATTTGTGTTTTGGAACAGTTTATAAGTAACTTATAAGCTGTTTTTCAATAGCGATTTACGGAATACTAAGTAAGTATATGAGAGGAGTTTTATCTCAGTTTACGTGAAACGTGCTTATAGAGGATTTCTACCCTCTGCCAAATAAGGCCTAACCAGCCCTCTCTCACCCCACATTGCTGGCAGCTCATGTTTCAGTACAGTCAGGGAAGTTGCTCGAACCAATAATTTGACTATTACAGTTTGTGCAAAAGGATCACACAACCTTTGGTTTTTATTAGTAGACAAAATAAAGTTAGGTCGATCAGGCAAAGAAAGATCTACTTGTATACCTTCCTCCAAGTTCTAAACAGAATCAAATTTTGCATCAACTAAAGCTTCAAAACCCATACCAAAAGGGATTGCTCTATTCTTTCCCTCTCTCCCAGTGCTTGATCTTATCGAATCTCTGTAAGATTTTCTCGCCTCTGTTGACTCTTTCGTCCTCGTCCCTTCCATCAGCAAAGGAAACTCCTCCTCTCGAAATGCTTCCCAAGCCTTCCTAACCTTCTTCCGACTGCGCTCAAGAGCATGCCTTTCTTGCTCCGTTACTGCCGCCATCAATTGCGGCGGCCCTCCCACAGATGTCGTGGACACCACTCTTGATGCTCGCTTTTTATTCAGACGTTGATAGATTTTTAACTTTCCCACTGTTTAGCCATTTCAAAGTATTTTATCTAAGGTTTGGCAAAAAATTTGCCAAACACCCCCATTTTTTTTAAACCAAGGTTTCAGGCAAAACCTTGGTTTTGCCCAATAAAACCTCGGTTCCAGATAAGCAGGCGAGGGATTGATTATTGGCTTCAATTATTGGCTCTCCCCAACAAAACCTTGCTTCAACGGTCAGCTCACGGTGAAGGGAACAAGCATGCAGGGGTGCTCTTCCGCTCACGGTCATTCAACTCACGGTCAAGATCTCTTCCGCCTCTTCTCTCCCATTCATCGCCGTCGCCCTCTCCATTCAGCTCACCTGAAGATCTCGAGCTGCTCTGTTTCTCACTGGAGAAGAATCGAAGGAAAAAAGCCACCCATTCTGCCACTTGATCCGGTCTTGTGTCGTCGGTGAGATCTTCCCATCCCTCAGAAATATCAGTGCCGGCGACGTGTTTCTGGGCTTGCCAAGACATCACCGCGCATTGGGTTCGGCCGATCGGAGCCATCCAGTTCTGATCAAGGTTTTAAGAACCGGACCGGACCGGACGGTCCGACCGGTCCACACAACGGCTCGGACAGAGTGTTTGGGCCGCCTGAGTGGTTCATCCGTGTTGGACCGCCTTTTATCCGCTGTTGGGCTGGAAGCCGTTGTTGGGCCGGAAGCCGTTCCGGATTTGTAAAAACCGGACGGGCTGAATGTCATCATAATAAAATAATAAAAAAGGCCCAAAAACTGCCAAAAGTCCATATATTACATTAAAAAAAAAAAACAAAACGACCCCTGTTTGGCTCTTTCTGAATTCTGACTTTTTCCTTGGCTGGCCTTTCCGTCGAACGCGAGAGTGGCGGGACCGACCTTGTGAGTTTGAGTGCCCTAGGTCCCCACCGTGCTCCGTCTTCCTCCGTCGTCCTCCACCGTGCTCTGTTCATACGCGCCGTCGTCCACCAGCATTCACGATCAGGTTATTTCTGATTCAGCGTCCACACGTTCTCGCTTTGAAGGAGCTGGACCGAAACACCGAAGTCAGAGAAGTGGAGGCTTGAAGGCAGAGGTGATCATATATTTGAAGTCATCACAATTCAAATCTCTTGGATTCTAAACAGGTAAATCATTCTCTACTCATTGGATTCTAAATAGGTAAGTCATCTGCTCATTGTATCGGTAATCGGCTGTTTCAAATTTCAATGAACCTATGCTCTGTTTATTTTGCCAAAACCAGAGCCGACTACCAGTAGTACTGATGGAGAAGATAGCATTTGATGCTTATATATATATATTGAATAAGCTGTAAGCCTGTAACTATTTGATTTTGACCGATGTATAAGCTTATATATATGTGTGTTGAGTGAGCTCTGAGCTGTGACCGAGGAATCCATGTTAGGATCCATTTTTCTTCACAGCGAGCTGACCAACTTGTGTTTACTTCAGCTACATCGTGATCTGTCTCCTAAATATGTGTTTAATACAGGTTGAATGTACTGAAGAATATGATAAAACAATTCAGAAGTGTAACTGTCATATACCGTGGGAGGATAATGATTTACGTATATATGTTTCCATTTGCATGTAACCAGGAGGATTTTAGTTATAAAAATAAACCGTGGGAGTGTGGGACCTAGCTATGTGCACAGAGTCAAAGAGACAGGGACTTAATATTTTAGTTATCCAATCGAATATGGGGCTGTGGGGGATCTAATGAGGATTGATTATTTATTCTTTTAACTTAAAGAAGCTTGATCTTGATGCCTTGATGATGCCTGATGGGTTATATTTATTTAAAGAAGGCTAGTGGGTAAGTGGGGCCGTGGGGTATCTAATTTGACCAAACCATTCGAATATGGGGCTATGGGGGATCTAATGAGGATTGATTATTTATTTTTTAACTTAAAGAAGCTTGATCTTGATGCCTTGATGATGCCTGATGGGTTATATTTATTTAAAGAAGGCTAGTGGGTAAGTGGGGCTGTGGGGGATCTAATTTGACCAAAAAAAAAACTAAGTATTACTTATAGTCCTACACTCTTATATGATCCATAAATTATAATTATATTTCCATGAACTATAATTAATTGTTTAAATAATTGAGTGCTTAAATTCAAAATCCTTTTCTTAATTAACATGCTCTCTACTAGATATGTTTACTAGTTATAAACTTATAATTAATTGATACTATTGTGTATTTCTTGTATTGTAGAAATTAGAAGATGTCATCCCAACCACAAGAAGTATCTGGTAGTGCTCCATCTACACAATCTGTGAGATCGAAGGCTGATCCTGCATGGGAACATTGTGTTCAAGTAGCTAGCAAAAACTCAAGTGGCAAACCTCGCTTGAGATGTTTGTATTGTGCAAAGGAATTTGGAGGTGGAGGGATACATAGAATGAAACAGCATCTTGCGGGAATAAAAGGAGATATAATAAGTTGTAAAAAAGTTTGGGTGATGTTCGCTTTCAGTTGGGAGAAAATTTGAAAGAAATTGAAGAGAAGAAAGGTAAGAAACAAGATATATATGAGGAGGACAATCCCTATGGTCCTAGTGTCACACCATTTGAAGGGGATGCTCCAAATTTGCAAGAGGTTCCTCCGACACAGATTCAAACTCCTACTCCAACTTCTTCTCAGCAAAATATTCAAACTTCTGCCTTAAGACCATCTCAAGCTATGAAAAGAAAGCCATCTGCACCAATAGACAAATTCTTTGCCCCAAGGACAAGTCCAGGTGCACAACTGGGAATTAGAAATGCGTTTGCAGGTAAGGAAGCTGTGCATAGAGCAGACTTAGCTATGGCTAGGTGGCTCTATGATTGTTGTATTCCAATTAATGCTGTTAATTCTCCTTACTTCCAGCCTATGATAGATGCTATTGCAGCTATTGGACCTGGTTATAAAGGGCCATCTTATCATGCTTTTAGAACCAAATTACTACAAGATATGAAAAAGGAGGTTCAATTGTTAGTTGATGAGTGTAGAGGCTTTTGGGCAGAAACTGGTTGCACAATAATGGCTGATGGCTGATGGTTGGCAAGATCAAAGAAATAGGCAATTGATTAATTTTCTTGTTTACTGTCCTAGAGGGATTGTGTTCATTAAGTCTGTTGATGCCTCAGATATTGTGAAGGATGCTCAAACTCTTTGTAACTTATTCTTGGAAATGGTTACATTTGTTGGTGTGGATAATGTGGTTCATTTGGTAACCGATAATGCAGCTAATTATAAAGCTGCTGGGAGGTTATTAACTGACAAGCATCCTTCTATATATTGGTCTCCATGTGCTGCCCATTGCTTAAATTTGATTTTAGCGGACATTGGCAAAATGGCTCTTGTTACTAGTTTGGCATCAAGAGCTTCAAAGGTTTCAAAATTCATTTACAATCATGCATTTTTGCTTGCCTGGCTGAGAAAAAGAGAAGGTTGGAAAGAAATCATCCGTCCAGGACCTACACGGTTTGCTACCACATTTATTGCATTAAAAAGTCTTCTTGATCACAAGCATGATTTACAAGCCCTGGTAACTAGCAAGGCATTTTTAGATTCCAGATACTGTAGAGATCAGAGAGCCAAAGATGTAACATTGATTATATTAGATAACAAGTTCTGGAATGATTGTAAGATTATTGTTGAAGTTGTGAAACCACTTGTTCGGTTGTTGAGAATAGTTGATTCTGATGATAGGCCTTCACTTGGATATATCTATGAGGGTATGTATAGGGCAAGGAAAGCTATCAAGAGTACTTTCATGAACAAAAAAACTTTATACAAGCCTTATACAAGAATTATTAAGAGAAGGTGGGATACACAGCTTCGTCAAGATCTTCACACAGCAGCTTATGTCTTAAATCCTGCTTTTCTTTATGACCAGGCTAACTTTTCTCAAAAGCCAGAGGTTATGAATGGATATCTTACAGTTATAAATAGAAAAGTAGCTTCCAATAAGACCAAGTTCTTGCAAGAAGGCACACAGTACCAAAATAGAAGTGGTAGCTTTAGTCATCCTTTGGCCCTTGAATCTGCAAAATCAATGCGACCTGGTAAAGTTTTATATTTTAATGTTTGATGATAGTTTGATGAGTCATGATTCTTGATTCTTAGGTATTAAGCCTGTGACTTAATCATTTGATGATGTTTTATTTTTGATATGACAGATGAATGGTGGCGATATTTTGGAGGTAGTTGTCCAAATGTGAAAAAGTTGGCTATTCAATTATTAAGCCAAACTGCATCTTCATCAGGTTGTGAAAGGAATTGGAGTGTCTTTGAAAGAATACACTCTAAGAAAAGGAACAGGTTGGAGCATAAAAGGCTGAATGATCTTGTCTTTGTTCATTACAATTTTCGTTTGAGGAATAGGTATATTTTTCTAACTTTTAGACTCTACTTGAATTTATATTTTCCAAACAATTGATTAAATTAATGCTAATACTATGTTATTGTCATTTGTTTTTCAGAGTTGTTAACAAGAACAAAACTTTTGATCCTATTGATTATGAAAGTATTGATAAGATTGAATACTGGATAACTGAAGAAGTTGATTCTCCTCCACTTTCAACATTTCGTGCTGATGAGATCGAAGAAGACATCATTTATGATGATACAACACTACCAATGCCAAATGTTTTCATCAATGAAGAAGGTTAGATGTTTTTTAATCTTTCTATTTTTTTAATTTATATTTTACATTCGACTAATTTCAATAATATGATTGTTGCAAACTATTTTATAAAGATAATTATGAAGAGAGAGGCAATGAGGCTCAAGTTGAGTATAGATGCTTTGACACTGGAGTTGGAGCAGGTGTTGATTTGGGATCATTTTCTCAACAAGACATTGATAGTCACAGTGCAGAGGCTGCAGACCCAGATGCCTTTTTGGAGACTCATGCTTGGCTTAATCAAGATCCTCCAATATTTGACAAGTCATGAAGTCATTTGTCTTAGTGCATTATATTGAGTACTTAGGAGTCATGTAGTGTTAGATTGCTAAGGACTTAAGGAATTTTATTTTGTTAAAACATATGTAGTAAACATAATTTTACTATAAATTATGCTAATTATATTTATCATATTATATATATATACTATATAACTATTTTTAATTTAATTATTATCTTACCGGTTCGACCGAACGGTCCAACCGTTTGAACCGGTTGAACCATGACCCGCTGCTCTTTCTGGCTCGACTTCCGGTCCGGCTTTTAAAACATTGGTTCTGATCTCTTCGCTATCAGTCCGTCTCAGGTCGCCTTGCCCGGTTCCGTCTCTCATATCCAGAACTCCGGTAAGCTGCCTCCGTGAACTCCGGTTATGCATTCTCTGGTCGATTTTCCAAATGTCGGTCGATTTTTCCCCCCGGTCGATTTTCGCCTCTGGTTTCAGTCTGTAATATATATGTGCACACATCTGTGGTGCTTTGAAATTACGTCCGGTCGATTTTCCCCCAGTCAATATTCCCCCCCATTTCGGTCTGTAATATATATGTGCACACCGTAATTGTTATGCTTTGAATCATTTCGGTCTGTAATATTACCTCCGGTCGATTCCCCCCCCCACAGCGGTGGTTTCACCAATAACTTTGGATCATTGGTGGCTTCATTTTGTTTCCCCCCACACAGAGTTTGGTTTGGATGTTGGTTCCGTTCTGTCGTGTGTGTGGCTGTTCGTTCTGCAATTTTGGTAGCTGGAAATTTTTTCCGTGTGTGTGTCTTTTTTCCCATATTCATATGTTGTGTTTTGGAGACAGACCAGTCGATCATGCTGTGTGTATACGATTGGATTATGGGTGTTTATGCTGATGAAATTATTTTTATTTCTCTAATCAAAATCCTACGAATGAGTTAACCAATTTCTATATTTCAAATTTTGATCAGTTAACCAACAGTATAATTAGTGGTTGAACTTCAATTTTGGTCAGTTAACCGAAAAGAACTCCCTGAAATGATGGGAAAAAAAGTCATCATTAATTTTGCAATATCAATTATTAATGAGACCTCATTTTGCTAGAAAAAAGAACATGTGGCTATACTTGTTAAATACTATACCTGTTATATCATATCTCCTGGACTGAATGGTATGCTTTTTGGGTTGAACTTGTCATGACTGAATTGTTGTAATTGGTTTATAGCATAATGAATAAAAAAAATAGCAAGGCTTCGTGGGATATAAGAGCCATAAAGATCTTTATTGACCTGTGTATTGAAGAAGTTGAAAGAGGGGGAAAAAGAGGAACTAGCATGACAAAACCTGCTTGGACAAGTATTGAGGAGAACTTTACTGCAAAGACTGGGAGGGTTTATACGAAAATCCAATTAAAGAACAAATTTGATACCTTGCGAAAGGAGTGGCAGTTATGGGATAGGCTGCTCCGTGAGACAGGTTTAGGGTGGGATGCTGAAAGAAATACTGTTAGTGCCCCTGATGATTGGTGGGAGAAGAAAATAGTGGTAATCATTTAACTTTATTTGAACTTGTATTTTCTCCAATGTTAACGTTTTTTGTATAATGTATAATATTTTTGGTGTTGAATGCGCAGGAAGTTCCAGGCTATGAGAAATTTAGAGAAAGAGGGCTTCAATTTCGGGCTGAATTGACTCAACTCTTTGGGTCTGTAGCTGCGACTGGACCACAGTCATGGGCACCTTCTTCCATGACACTTCCAAGCGAAGGAGTTCCTGAAGATGATATGGAAGAAGGATCTGGAGATAGTGATGAAATTTTGGGGGCACCAACTGGCATAAGCGGGGAGTTTAATTCAGTCACATTTAATGACAATAGTGGAGGAAGTGAAGGCAACACTGGAATGAGACAGGAAACTATTCGTGGGGGTAGAAGCACAGGTGGCAGTCGACCTAGTAGCTCATTAGGGGTTAGAAAAAAGGGTGAATCCATGAAGAAGAAACCTACTACCACTATGAAAATAGTGGATGCACTAAGCAGGATAGCTCAGGCAAATGAAAATGATTCTCAGCATGAACATGAAGAGATTTCAGAAGCACGTGCTAGGAAGTTAGAAGAAGAAGCACGTGCTTATGAGACGTCAATTGCGGGAGTGATGGAGCACCTTAATGAAGTTGATGAAATTGTTGATGATCCTGATCTATTTGGCCGGTGCACAACACTCCTTATGGACAAGCCAGCTGCAAGGGAGATGTATGTGGCTCTGAAGAACAAGAGGGAAAAACTACTGATCTTCTTGAAGCATGCAACTAAGGATTCAGACTTCATTTGTGTTGCTTACAAGATGACTATGATAATTTGTATCTATTTTTAGGAATGATGTAACCAGACTATTGTATTATGTGACTACTGAATTTCTGTAGGAATTAAACAACTTATTTTCTTGTTAATGTTAAGTAATTTCATATCAGGGTTTCTGAATTTTATGTCTATGTGCACAGGACAAGACAAAAAATGGCTGATGAAATTAAAATTGCGGAAAAGTATCGTAAACGACGGAACAAACGGGTTAATCAAGTTGCAGTAGCGGTTGGTGGATACGCTTCTCTTCATTTGTGTAAAGAGCCCCAGCATACAAGTATTTATACAGGCAAGGCATGGGTAAGGGATGTTTTACAAGGCCATTCCACTCGTTGTTATAACATGTTTAGGATGGAAAGAGAAGTGTTTTTAGTCTTTGCACAGAATTGCAACAACACGGTCTAAGGGAAACTAGAAATGTTGGGATACATGAAATGGTTGCAATGTTTTTAAATACTGTTGGCCATGCGCTTAGTAGTAGGATGCAGCAAGAAAGATTTCAGCATTCAGGGGAGACAATTAGTAGACATTTTCATAATGTCTTACTGGCATGCTGTAGACTTGCTATGACCAACATCAAACCAAAAGATCCAACGTTTCAGCATTTGCATACTAAAATACGGCCTGGTGGTCGATACTGGCCCTTTTTCAAACATGCTATTGGAGCAATTGATGGAACACATATTTTGTGCATTGTTGATGCAACTGAGCAAACAAAATTTATTAACCGAAAAGGAAGAGTGACGCAAAATGTAATGGCTGTTTGCGATTGGGACATGTGCTTCACTTTTGTATTGGCCGGATGGGAAGGTAGTGCGCATGATGCTCGTATATTTGACCACGCCCTTACAACTCCTTCCATGAACTTTCCCCATCCGCCTCAAGGTATATTTTAAATTCCCACAATTTATTTATGCTTAACTGTTACAAAAAAAATTTTATTGACACCAGTCATATATTTCATGTAGGCAAATATTATTTGGTGGATGCTGGCTATCCGACGCCCATGGGATACCTTGGTCCCTACAGACGTGAACGCTACCATCTCCCTGATTTCCGAAGGTCATCTGCACTTGAAAATGACAATGAGGCGTTCAATTATTTGCACTCAAGTCTACGGAGCACTATCGAAAGAACTTTTGGAGTTTGGAAGAGTAAGTTTGCAATTTTAGGAAACATGCTGAGCTATGACTTTGCAACACAGGTTCAAATTGTTTGTGCAACGATGGCTATACATAACTTCATTAGATCAACATCCATTTCTGATCCTGGTTTCATTCAGTTTGAACAAGAAGGTTCTTAACTTCTTATGCAGAAGAAAATGATGATGATGGAGTTGGATCTTCACATATACCTTCATCAGTAGATTCTTCATCTCACATGGCTTGGCTTTGTGACTCCATAAGAGATCAAATTGTTAACTACATACAAGAATAGTTATGTCCTTTTTATTTTCTTTTTTCTTTTCACATAATGTAATGTGTTGTTAAAAAAACCTACTTGAACAAATATATTTCGTTGCAACCTCTATTATTAACACAATTGATAGGAAATTTTTTTGTGTGGTTATTTAATTTTGTGAAACAAAATTATCAGATTTCATCTTTCAAATCTTTAAGAAATAATAATATTTTCTTTGGCAAAATAAATCATTTTGCTAAAAACATATTTATTTATTTTATTACTATATATACACGGAAATTTTTATTATTTATTTTATTTATACCTTATTTATTATGTTGCCAAAATATATATTATTAATAAATTTATTACTTAAAATAAACATATATTATGAAATATATCTTATATGTAATTATCATTTAAACTTATGTCCTTTTTAGTAATTTTCACATATCAAAAAGCACTTCTGACATTAATTATCCAAACACTCTCACTTTATCAGAATCACTTTTTCAGAAAATCTATTCTTTCAAAATCTATTCTCTCCAGAATCTATTCTCCAAAAGCTATTCTGCAAACCATGGTTTTGCCTCATCCAAACATCCTCTAAGTAAATGTTTGAATTAATTTAGGGAGAATCCCATATAAATCCAACTAAAATACTAAAATTTAAAATTAGGTCTACACTTAGAACAAATCCCTAATCAGGTTAAGATAGAGTCAGTAATATGGGTTAAGCCTACGAACTCAACCTGCCAACCAGCGAAGAAGTAGCGGGTTGGTTTAATAAAAATTGGGATCGTTTTAAAATGGGTCTTTTGAGCTCGTAACTATCAAGACTGAACCCGCGGTGGGGTAATCTACAGGGTTAGCACCCAGCCTGTTTTACTTTTTTTTTTTAATTTTAAATTTTTTCCTTTAAAACCCTATCAATATTGAGTGATGGCTCATAATTGAACATTTGATAGTGATTTGTGTAGTGACATATTATTGTGTTTATGACTTCATGGTGTTGTTGATTTGGATTTATGTTTTAATTTGGGATGTTTGTTAAATCATTTAGGATGTATCATGTAATTATATATTTAATATTTTGAGATATTTGAAAGTTGAAACTTTGGATTTTATGTTTTATTTATGATAATTTCTATTTACATGTTTTATTTTAGGTATTTAGAAATTTGAATAAATTTTATTAAAAGTAAAAAAAAATACAAAAATTGGCAGGTTGGATTGGAAAAATTCCAACCCGCTAGAGGTTGGTCCTA